CAATGGATATAGATTGACTTCGACTCCATTAAGCTTATGAATTTTTTTTCTATTAATTTTAATTTCTAAAAGCTCTTCAACAAATTCAGTAATATTATCTGAAAATATGAAAGAATCAAAACTAGTATCAATCATTGCGCAAGGTATTACCAAACTTTCTATTTTACAATAAATAGTCACAACATTGTCAGCATCCTTTATTTGTAAAAAATTTATTTCTAAAGGCTTAGGCTAATATATTTGACTATTTTTTTTTTAACTGAATGACATTACGCATATGCCTTAATAGCATAATTCAAAGTATGATCACTTTCTAAATGGTTATTATCTGGCAATATTTCTATTTTCATAATATTATTTGTTATTCTTTCAGCTTGATGTGATTTCTTAAGGACCTGCTCTTCCTAAGAAGGAGACGGAACTTGTAAAAGAGGTTTCTACTTAGTATTTACTGCTTGTAATAGCAGAAGCAAGACCTCTTGTACTTTTTTTGTAACATTCTCCCATGCTAATTCTCTTCTTTTAGCTGTATCATTTGGTATAACAGTATTTAAGCAATAGTATTCTAATTTGAGGTATATTGTATTAATAAATTTCAAAATTTCTATAAAAATTTTTTTAGGATAATGGGGGATTACTGATGATATTATAGATTTTAAGACTATTTGATACATTTGATCCGTAGTTATATGAAGTGCTTTATAACTAATTATATTGTGTGATACTTTAGTATTTTCAGCACAAAATTTGGAAGTAGGGAATTCCTTCTTGTAAGTCTTTTTATAGGTACTACACTTTGTACTACTTTTTTTTATAGCATAGCAGTTTTGGTCAGTAATGTTTAGAACAGATTCGTCATCATCAACACATTCATCACTCTCCTCAACTTCCTCCTCAACTATGTATTCTATTTCAGGCTCTTCGGCCTTCTCCTCAAATATGTATTCTATTTTAGGTTCTTCAGAATCATCAAAAGACCTCTTGAGATGAGATCTTTCTTAACATTTTGGTATAAATAATTAATCTTTTTAGTCTGCTTAACTCCAGGACAATTAATTTTTATATGGCTAGCCTTTTTACAGACTGAACAAAGAGAACAATTCGTTTAACTGGTGTTTTTTGTACTACCTTTCTAACAATTTTCTTTGTAGCATTTGTATTTCTAACCTGAGACTCTACAAAGAGACTCCTTCTAACATTAGTTACTTTTTACCCTAACCTTTTACTAAGTTCATCATAGATATATGGTTCTAAGACTGAGAGATCTGTTATTACACCTAAATAATCCAAATCCTTTGCTAAACAAACTATACATTCATGTTCAGTTTGTGATTCTTTTTATAGAGATGAATGTAATAGAGTTTCTTTACTGAAGGAAAAAATGCCTACACTTCTACCAGTTTCTAACCATTTATCATTAAGTTAGGTAAAAAAGGTATTAAAATCTGTTAGATTTCCAATTTTAATCCATAATTCCAAATTTTCAAGTAAATGGCTATAAAGAATAGGTAAAACATCTGTAAATAGTAAAGCATCTACATATAGTCTAACCCATTTTTTATATGTTTCTAGAGTATCAATAGAAAGAAATTTATCAGAAATAAGCACTTTCATAGAAACCTATGCTGAATCTAGTTTTATTACACGATATGTTTCTCGAAGCCATACTATAAATAATGCTAGAATATTGACTGCATTTCCTGCATTGTTATTAAATAGATTAGGAGGAGTAAACTTTCCCATCATCTTTCCTGCTAATATATTAGTTTTCATACCATCATTAAGACTGCCATTCCTAATGAATTGCTATAATTAATTGCCTGCATAACCTTATTATAATAGTCATTTGGTAGCTCTTGACTAGTATATTGCGGTATTTGAGCTAAAAGTAGGCCATTGCATTTAAAACTTCTGGTAAGGTAGCCATATTTCCAAATGGATTATTTTGTAAATTCAAAATAATTTGTCATGAATTTATTTTTTTTGCTTCTATTTTTCATATTAATTATATACTCAATCCCGATTATATTCTAATAATCCTATATCTGCTTAAGCTTGTTTATAATACTTTTTTAAGTTTTGCGTCTGCTGTATACAAGCAGTATGTCTTCTTTTTCACCAACATTTTTCATAAATATTTTTATATACCGTATCTCTAAAATTATTGATTTCATCATCTCTTTGTTGTCAGGCTTGTCTTTTATCCCTTCATGTTTGCTTCATCATCTATACACTTCGAAGACAATCATTTCTAAAATTTGCCATATCATTCATAATCCTATTTATTTGCCTATGGAATGCATTAAGCAGATCTTGTAAGTTCGCATTTTCCTGAACATACTTTTGATTATATTCTTGAATAGTTATTATTAAGATCCGTATTCCATTCAATGTATTTTTTATGTCAAATGATGTATTGCCATTGATATATCCTTCAATTCAATCTAAAGCTGTACCAATATTTCTTAAGATATCTGGTAGTGCCATATTTTCTTGATGTTCTTCTTCAGAAGGTTTATTACTCTTATTTACTTTTTTCTTTTTAGACTCGAAAAAAGGGCTATTGCAATCAGTTTCTTGTAATAAAAGATCAGTTAAAAAATTTTGAGTTAATTGTTTCTCTTGATAGTCTTGACCGAAAGAGTGCAATATCTTGAGAATTTGACTTTTAAGCTTTTCTACTGTATCTTTTAGTAGAATGATTCGCTTATCTTGAATGACTAATGCCTCCTCCTTTATATCTAAATAATTCTGACATTTTTTGAGATTATGTAGGGTGGAGCAGTATTCTGCTTTTATTTTATCTAATTCATCCTCTCATGAGATAAGATTTTTTCAAGATATTTGATATATAACTCACATCGTTCTAGATTAATTGTGAGCTTGCGAATCTTTTTCTTATTTTTTATAGTAATAGTTTTCTCTTTAGTCAACTTTATTCGCAATTCTAAATTGCTATCTAATAAATCAAAATATACCTGCTCAACTCCCATTGATTTCTATTATCTTAATAGATTCTGATAAGACTCGAAATGTAGATGTGTCTTCAGTTTTATGCAAAATTTATTATCAGTCTTCAGGCTATCAGAGGACTGTAAAAAAATTACATGAAGCCTCTCAAAAAGCTAGATATGATTTTTCACTTGATGAGATGTGTGACTGGTTTGAAAGATAAGCTGTTTACCAAATTTATATGCCTCTTCCTAGATATATCCCCTGAACAAGTTTTACTTCTATTACTACTCCTAATAAAGTCTATCAGCGGATATTCTCTATATGCTTTATGATAAGATAGGTCAGATTACTTATTTTTTTTGCCTTAATATTGTGGATGTAGCTTCGAGATATAAAGTATCTATTTCTATTAGTATATATAGTGTCAAAGATAGGCAGAGAATCTTAACTTCAAAGATTATTACTAGAGCTTTTCAAGAGAAATATGATGATCCTGAGTGTTCTTTTGTTTAGCCATAAACATTTTTAACAGATAGGGGGCCAGAGTTCAGGGGTAATTGTGAGAAATTAATGAGAGAGCATGGCGTGAAAATTTAGAAGACCTTTACTAAAGATACTATGGGTATTACTGAAAAATTTAATGGTGATTTAACTAGAAAATTATTTCGTTCACAAGATGCTTCTAATCTTTTGACTTTACACTTAAATAAGATATTTCAGGTTTAGGTAAAGAATTTGCCTATAGTTGTTAAATATTTTAATAATTTTATTACATGCCAGCTTGGTATTTCTCCTGTTGATGCAATAGTGAAAGAAGAGGTCTTGACTAAGCCTTCTTATCCTTGGGATGACCCTATAAGCTTTGATGAAGAGAAGCTTTCTGGTGATGTTCTTGTTTAATATTTATTATATTCTAGTGATTTGGAGGGTAGAAGATACTGTGCTGGTGATTTGAATTAGTTCTCACATATTTATCATATTCGTCAATCTATAGTGTAAAAAAATCAGCCGGTCTTATACTGGCTGGAAGAAGTTCCCTTTAGGCTAATTGATAATGATGATTATATTCTCAAATATTCTAAAAGATCTTTTGTTTGAGAAGAATTGATGGTTATTCCCTTTGATACAAAATTGCCTCCCCAGTGGATGCTTACGAATTAAATTTTTAAAGTGATGATAGGAAGTCTTCTGTTTCTTCATCAACTTGTTTATCAATAATAAAATAATCCTTAGCTAATTTATAATATAATTTATATAGTTTTATGATGGCGTTAAGAATCTTTAGATCCTGCCTATAGTATTCTTTGTAGTCATCTTTGACTTTATAATATTTAGCTTTATTAGAAAATATGCTCATGGCTAGTTTGAGAATATATTCTTGAGGATCCTCTGCCTGATGCAATTTTTTGATCCTTTCTTTATATGATTGCATGAATTTACCTTCATTTGGCCTTCTATAATAGATGCTGGTCTTGACTATATTTATTAATGCCTGCTCGACTTCTTGATATATGGGTTTTATTTCGACTAATTGAATTTGTATACTCATTATATATTTAGTATATATATTACTTTATGGTGTAAAGATTTATTCAATTAAAATTATTTATACAACTATAAAATAGGCAAAGGTGGTAAAGCAAAAGTGAAATTTATTTATTATTATATTCATAATACTAGTAAAATTTGTAGCAGACGTAGTACTAGACCTAAAGATTGTCGATTATACTTCAAAGCTAAAAAACGTTAGCTGTGTTTTGCTTGTAGTAGACCTACAAAGATAGATAAACCTATAGGGTAGATAATGATCTATGTAGCTATTGTAATAAAAGCAATTATCAGATCTGGCATGTAAACGTACTTTGAGATAAGGCCTAGATGTTCGATCAGTATTCTTCTGAGGTGATACTTAGAGGTGAGACCCTCTTTTGAAGCTATCGCTAAAAAAGCTTAGATTCTTTTTTCGAATCTAGTAAGAAAAAAGGGAGGTGAGACTTAGAAGAGAGACTTATTTTTTCACCTAGAGGTTAGACTCTCCTTTGAAGCTATCGTTGAGAAAACCTAGCTTCTTTTTTCAAATCTAGTGAGAAAAAAGTAAGGTGAGACTTAGAGGACCAGGAAGTGCGTTACATGAGACTTAAATATGCTCACCCTAGAAGTAAGACTTAGAGGTAAACATAATATGTGTATATGCTTTACTTCACTCTGCAGACTTTGTAAACATATCTTGAATACATGTTTCGCATCTTTAATGCTCTGCAACCTGATAAATCTTATCTCTTTGAGGTGAGACTTATCAGAATTTGATTACATTAATAAATCAATTTTAGAATTAATTCTAGAATAATATAAAAAAATGGTATACTGATTAGGCTTGCTTGGTCGAACTCTGAGTACACTCAGATATTTGTGTCTTTAGAGCTTAAGGTTCTATTCAAGGGCAAGTAGTATAGCATATATTTTTCATTATATTATTTGAGATTAAAAAGAGGGCCTATGTGTTAACAAAGATGATAAATATCTTGATCTTGGAAACTTAAAATTTGGGTAAGAAGATATATTAACAGGATTTAAACCCAGCTCGATTTTAAGCTTGAATTCAATATTGAATTTTGATATATTTCCTGGTCTTGCATATTAATTTAGAGTTCAATAAAGATTTCAGAAATTTCATATATCAGAAAAGTGGCTGGGAGGCTACACACTTTTGTATACCTATTTGGAAATTTTGTCTCAGAACTCCCAAATATATCTATATAATGTAAAATTTATTCATATTAAATAAAAATAAAATTTTATAACTATAAATAATTTAAATTTATCATTAATTTATTTTAAATAAATAAAATACAAATTATCATTTAATAAATTCAAATTATTACTATTTAAAGTGATAATAATATTTAAAGTATTCATTTATAACATCTGAAGTAATTATTTAAACAATTTGAAATTAGTCATTTAAAATATTTAAAATGCTTATTTAAAATATTTTTATTCTAAATATATATTTTATATATTTTAGATATTATCACATTTGAATTACAACAGTTTTATAAAGTTCAATTTAGTTTAATATTTTTTAAACTATAAGATTATGACTTATATTAGTAGAATTTGTTATTCTAAAATTATAATCAATATTAAAAAATATTATAAATGAAATGATAAAAGAAAATAATATAAACTTAACTAGAATAATATATCATTATACAAAAAGATGAATTTTATCATTCAAAAAATATTTATTTTAGATTGATAATTCTTTATAATTCTAATTGAATAATATTTTAATATTCAATAAAACATATTTTTCAAATGATTATGTTAATATTGAATTAAATAACTGATTTTTATATATTATTAAGATCATAATTTTAAAATTATAAATTTTAATTTAAATAGAATCACAGTTAAAATTGCTAGGTAAAACCTAGAGATTTTACAAGTTATTTAAATGTAAAAGGTAAAATTTAGCAAAATTATAAAAATTTGCAAAACTTTGCAAAAGGTATAATTATATTAAAGTTTATAAAATATGAAACAATATTATATTTTAATAAAAAATTAGTGAAACTAGAATATAAATATTTTTTCAAATTCTATAAATTTTAAATTAATTAAAACTAAATTAGATTTTAATATTTATATTATTTATTCATATGAATAAACATTTTAAGAGTAAAATAAAACATTTATAAAATTATTTTAAATAATAATTAATAAAAAAAAAAATTTAACATAATTGGATCAATTTATAAATAATACTTGTTTAAGATAAGATTATTTGTAATATAAAGTAAAATAATATTTTTTTAAACTTATTAATTATAAATTTATATTTAATATCTTAATTTAAGTAAATATTTATAAGATTTATCACAAATTTCTTGATACCAGTAATATATATATATATATCTTATTTTGATCATAAAGAAGTAAAATTTAGAAGGTAAAAAATTAGGACATGATTTAAATTGATAATTATTAATTTTGAATTTTTTGTAAAAATAGAATTTTCTTTAATATTAAACAAAGTTTTATAAGCTTAATGAGATCATGAATAGTAACAGGTCTTGTATTTGAAGTATATTTTATTTAGGAATTTGAGAATTCTTTTATATTTCTATAAGGTTAAATATAAGTTATTGTTTATAACTTGATTTTCACATACCTGTTTCTTATAGTTTATAAATAATTATTTTTAAGAAAAATAAAAAATTTTTTTTTTAACAAGAAAAAAAAAAAAAATTTTTGTTCGCTCATCGAAAAATATGTTTTAATTAAAACTAAGAACATAATAAATAATTAAATATAGATAAATAAAAAATAATTGTAAAGAATAAAAATGAAAAGAAAAGGTATATTTTATATGTATAATAAAAAAATATTCTACCTAATTCTTAAGAGAAACCCATCAATTATATATTAGTTCTTTTATAAGAACATATGGGAGGTTTCTAGGAAAATCAGGTTCTGAGAAATTTTTGACTTAAATTAAGAGCTTAATACATTTTAATCTAATAACATCAAAAACTAATATGCAATAAAAAATCTCAATTTTGTTAAAAAATTCTTGAAACCTGATTTTCCTAGCAATCAACCCATATAGGACCTTTGCAATAGAAAAGGGGAAATGGCTGAAAAAATAAAAATTGAGTTAATGTTAAATCTGAATATAGTTTGACCTAAAAATCATATTTGGTATAATAAAAGTAAAATTGATTGTTTCCCTCTTTCTATCAAAGGTCCATATAGTAAGAGGACGATTTTGACATGTGAACAATTTGCCTAGATGAACATTTTAGCTTGGGGAAATATTGGCCAATCTACAAGATCTAATTCAATTTGCGGAATTTCCTTGTAAATTAAACGGTTAAAGTAGGTGAATTTAACTCCGGCCGAATTTCAATTTCTGGCAAGAATTAAAATTTTATGATTGCAAAATATTGTCTAACTCGGGCCAAATTTATATTAATGGCCTAAGTTAATTTTAACCGGTTCCAACCTCTAACATAATGTTTCGTATAAGACACCGTTTTATTATGAAATTGATGATTATTAAAGCCGCAACAAGAATAAGCCTCAACAGAGGTTTGTTCAAGAGTTACCTCCGGCAAAATTTCTTGCTTATCTTTAAGCTAGGAAATTTTATTTTAGAAAATTACACCTAAAAATTTTTCCTCCTATAATTTAAAATCATTAATCAAAAAAAAAAAATAAAAAAATATTTTTATAATGTTTTTAAGTAAAATCAAACAATTTTTACATCTTTTTTTTGAAATTTTTTTTTTTATTATTAGGCCATGCAACTTTGATTTTTCGGTTCACGTCACCCGGCCGGTTCACTTTTTCAAATTTTAACAAAAAAAAGTTTATAATGTGTAATTTTATTGGTAGATTAAGCTTTATTGTATTATCGTAATGTATAATTCCTTTCTTACAACTCATTAGTTTCATACAGCTTCCCAAGCAATACATTGTGCTGAAATTTTGATTAGTCGGGCAAAGAAAATTTTTTAAATTTTAGATAAAATTTAAAATTGACACGGTCACCCGGGTTTCTTTTTCATATGTTAATTTTTTATATTTACTATAAAAAAAATTGAAATTTTCGTAAACTGACACGGCCGGGTCACAGAATCTGAGAATTGCTTAGAACGGCCTTGTCCCTTAAATATTGACCAATCAGATGGCATAATATTTATATATAAACTTATAAACTTTTTTTATTAATAAAAAATAATCATTAATAAACTCCGGGTCTCCGGGTCGATTTTTAAATTTCAATGTTACGTGAACCGAAAAATCGAAGTTGCATGGCCTTAAGTATTTTTTTTTTTTTTTTTTTTTTTTTTTTTTTTATTTATAAATACTAAAATTTAATATTATTATCAAGAGGGGTAACTCACCTATCGCTACCACACCATTAGAACATTGCTTTACAATAAAAAAAAAGTGAAAAATTAAACATTATATGGCTAAGCCCGTAGCGACGAACCGGAAAATTAAAAAAAAATGTTAAAGAAAAAAAAATGAAAAAAAAATGAAAATGAAAAAATAAAAACGAAAATAATAATAATAATAAATACATATCGCACTCATTTTCAACTAGAAGTGTAAACTAATGAAAAAAAATAAATAAAAATAAAAATACCTTATTGTTACCTCGAAAGACATTACAATAAAATCAAAATATGGATCTAGCCTGAAGAGGAACATAAAAAGAAAAGGCTAAGAAAAGAAATCAGGCTGTGTCCGAGAGAATTGGCTGGCTAATGATGCTCTTGCACTACAATCAATTTACTTTTAATAAGGATCGCAATGAATACTTGAGCAGTTGAAAAATAATTAATAACACCAAAAAGAGTTAATTATGAATTCTGATCCGGTTTTCCGGAATTCGCTTTCAATTGAAAAGGGCTTATATTCTTTCAATGTTATTTAGAATTCTCTTTTTAATTTTTTACCAAATGAACCTTAATAAAGTTTAATAGAATAAAATATCAAAAAAAAAATTATATAAATATTTCGTGCAACAAAAAAAATCAATTGAAATTAAAAATGTACATGTTTAATTTCGAGTAACATTACATAAATCACTTAAAAGTACACAATGTAAATTTTTCTTTGAATTTACTAAACACACGATTTCTTTATAAAGCTAACTTGAATCACATTTACTATTTTAGAGAATAAGAAATTTTATTTCTAAGTTTAGTTGTTTCAAATTTATCTGTCTTATAAAAATAGAAATTAATTTGGGAAAATAGAAACCTCAATTAATACAAATTAAACATAATTAAATTCATGGACGAAACAACGAATATTTCTTTGTCATTTCATTATGAATTAGCTCTTATATAATGACCAGATATAGATACAAAATGGCAAACTAAAAATTTCAATTGAAATGAACGATTATATATTTTTTAGTTATCATTGGATTTTGCAACTTCTCTGTATGTATAAATGCACAAGCTGCAATTTTTACTTTAATAAAAAATTAAATGTGCACAAATAAGTTGTTTTACAATATGGACCTTTGCAGGAAGGGGGAAAACTGCCGGAAAAAATCAATTTTCTTTTTTAGGCCAAATAAAAAATATGTTCAGATTTAGCATCAAATCGTTTTTTAGTTTTTCCAGCCCCTTTTTCTCATATATAAAGTCTAAAAAATCGCCCACCCCTGCACTTAAGAACATAAATTCTAGTAAGTTTTCTGCTTTTTCTTTTTAACCTAGCGTTCACTTTTGAGCATGACAATATGGAAACGTTTCAAATAAAATCATGTCATGAGATATAGTAAATCATATGATCCGTAATGTGATTTTACTGGCAACGCAAAAGAATTATTTTTAAGGTTGCGAGGCAAACCTACAATAGTCAAAACTATTTATTAAAATCTTGACGTTTCGAATTTCGTCATTTTCTTTGCTGAGAATTTCCCGCAATTACAATTATTTCATTTGATTTAATCCTAAATTGCAAAGCAATAGTTAGTTAATTTTCTTAGAAAATTTTGCGCAAGACTTTCAGAATCCTTGAAATATCTGAAGTTCTGGGAATATCATTTGAATGGATTCAGACAATTCATATTTATAATCAATAATTATTAAATATTAATTATAAACGAGAAAACTCTTTTCTGTAAAAAAATACATTGTGGCGTAGTATTAAAGAATTTTAATGATGATGGTTGCATTCTTCGTGACACTTTACATTATCCTTTACACACATTATTATGAACAATAAAACTTTATTTTTACATTTTAACTTTGAAGAAGAAAATTTGGACAAATAAATATAGCTCGAAACGAAATAATGTACTGTACGTGTTTTAACAGAAAATTTTTATTATAAATCTTTATTGAGTTGTTTTAAATAATACTTCTTTTCTAATTTACAATCCTAAATGTCCATTATTTAGTAGCTTATTCCGCTAAATAATTTTTATATTTACTTGGCAAAATATTTGTCATATTTGTCGTAAATTCTTTAAGGTTTAAAACTGCCGGAACGCGAACAAGTTGTTGGTAAAGCGCAATATATATCATGCTATTGAAACATTCGCATCTAAACATGACCCGATTCAAACACTTTATAATATGACATTTTATGTGGATATCTTATGGAAGAGATAATAAATAATTAAATAACAACTAGGGAACGTGAACCGTTGTGCGTCCGAAGCGAGAAAACAAAAATAACTTAATGTAACTAATTTTTTTTATTATTATTTATCACCTGATCATGCAAATATTGATTGTTACACCTGATCCCGACAATGATGACAAATTTTAAATTATTGCATAATTTTCCGGTAACAAAAGTTAAGTTGGTCCTAAACTGTCCCAAACTATATCCAAAACTGTCCACTTGCCGTAGGGGTTCTACACTTTTAAGGGTTCCGCATGACAACACTGCAGGTAGTAGATGATCATTCAAAATTGATAGTCATTCTAAACAAAAAAAATAATAATTATATCATGAGTGATTTTTTAACGTTTATTTGTTTTAAATAAACATTGTCGATTTAATTGAGTTGAAAGCATCATTCGTTCAACTCTCTACTATGAATCCATCCATGCATACGAAAAAGTGAAACCTTTCAAATCTTATTCCGAATATTTCCATACGTAACCTAAATTGATAGTAATAGATTGTTGTTCGTTTGTTACTACTTACATATTATTTATAACTGGAAGTATTAAAAAAATAATGGTATTAACAAATCAATTTTATTATATCTCTAGAATTGAAAGAAATATTTTAATTTAAAAGATTTTTTTTTTGTTGCATTATTTATCATTAAAGGTCCATAAAAATACTGCGCCGTCTGATGTTACTAACCTTTACCCAATCATAGAATTAAATTAATTAAATAAAAAATTCTTTTAAAAGCGTGCAAATTACTTATCAAATCAAACTTAACTTATTATTTAGGAATTTACCCGAAATGACGTTATGATAATCAAGAAGAAAAATGTCATCAAAAAATCCAAACTTGTTTCATGTGTATTATACAACAGACAATGGTAAATTAATTATAAATAGGACGAAGTTTTTACGTTGAGATTTATTATCTGTTAAACATTTAAATAGATAATTAAAATTACTTCTCTTTTGCTTTTTAACAATTGTAAGTATCTTTCTTGTAACCTATCTAAATTTTCTTGATGTTTCACAGATGATTCAAATCTGAGGAATGACCAAAATTTTGGCAGCTGTGCATGTCAATTTGTCCGTACCTTTTATTTTTATCATTTAATTTTTAAAAATAAAAAATGCATGTAGAAATGACGCAAAACAATTACTTACATTGTTTTTCCCCGTCTTTGACAATAAAAGATCTGGATCGCCAAATGTGCCATAATGCCCTGCTGCTGCTTAAATTTTTTTTGTATCATGAAAGTACAAAAGGAAATTGTAATTCTTCGTTTAAAAACGATGAATTTAATTTCACATTATACATACTTTCACTCAAAATTACCGCCAATAAAAGCACTAATCGACAATTTACTTTAATTGTCAGTTTTGTAGATCACATGTTTAATCAAAACAGAAATTCTTATACTTTAAATATAAATTTGCATTTACTGGAGAAGTAGATAATGAATCTGATTCTGCTTTTTGAAAATGCCCAGATTGCGGAAAAGAAAGAATCAGTGATGGATGGTGTAAAGATTGTGAAACCAATGCCTTTAAAGAGAGTTTTAGAAATTGGACCAGTGAAAATCTTAACGTTGATAATTTTATTAAATATACCCAATTGAGTGCAACCAAAAACTTAGATTATTTAGAATATATAGATTTTGAACAATTTGATCTTATAGAAAATACAAATAAAGGCGATGCCCTTAGCACAACTTATTCAGCGGTTTGGATGGAAGGTCCTCGATGGATTTGGGATGAAATGGCTGACCAATGGATACGTAATGGGCCCATAAAGGTTGCACTTAAAAGACTAAATAACTCGCAAAACATAAGCGCAGACTATTTGAATCAAGTTATTATTATTTTAATTATCATAATTTATTTGCTTAAATTTTTAGCATTAATAACATATTTGATAATGTTAAATGAAGATTTATAAATATCATCAATGTGAGAACGTTGCAGACTTTTTTGGAATAACTAAAGATCATACCTTGAATTTTATGTTTGTAATGAAATATGAAAGTAAATCTTTAAATTCATACCTTGATGAAACTCAAGGAATTATTTGTTGGAAAGATATTGTTGAAATGCTTTGGGAAATGGTTGGAGGGATTGAATACATTCATGAGAAAGGATTAATTCATGGAAATCTTCACGGAGGTAATATTTTAATAGAGCATGAGCTAGATTCAATTAATACACGTATTTGGGATGTAGGATTAAATGGCCCCGCCAATAGAATAGATTCGAATGACATTTATGGAGTTCTTCCTTATATAGCTCCCGAAATTTTTGAAAGGAAATCCGCTAACCGAGGCTGTAGATATTTATAGATTTGGAATTATCATGTGGATACTCTCCGCGGGTGTTCGCCCATGGTGTAATAGATCACATGATATTAAATTAGCTAGTGAAATTTGTTCTGGTCTTCGACCTGAAATTATTGATGGAACTCCATATGTTTACGTTCAATTAATGACACAATGTTGGCATTCTGATATTTCTAGACGTTCAACTGCATCTGAACTATATGATATATTAGGAAGCTGGATAGACGCCATAGATAGTCCTAAACCATCAAAATTTACCGAGCAATTTGAGCTTTATGAAGAAAAAGACATTTCAAACTTTCACCCGGAAAGAATCCATCCTGAAGCATTTTATACAAGCAGGTTCTTGTATTTTCCTGAATTGTATAAAAATAATGAACTTCTGTAAAAAGAATAATCAAATACTAAATATTTTTATCGAAATCAGCAACAAAACTATAATTTTCTATCAAGTATAATTATAGAAATCGAAATATAAAATTGACATTTAAAACGTTTAATATTATCTATAAAATAACAAGAATTCATTTTACAAACGCCTTTATTTATTCGCAACAATTAAATTTGGCATTTAAAACGTCGATTATTATGTCTATAATTATATATAAAATCAATAAAAGTCAATAATTAATATTATTTATTTAATATATAGAAATCAATAATAACTGGTTTACCAACCTTACCTAGACT